GGAGGATGGGACTGGAGGAGCTCAGAGGGGCCACAGTGCTGCCCCCTGCAGTTTCCGGAGCGAAGGAGGGCAGAACCCAGCAGAGGCGCAGGGCCGAGGAAAGCAGTGTGCTTGCTGTTTAAGCTTTATTGGCCCGTGCTTGCGGTCCGGAAGGAGCGCCTTCATGGTGAGGAGTCGGGACGTGTTTGTGACACATCTGCACTCTTCCCACGTCCCCTTGCTCCCCTCTTCTTCTCCCTTCCATCTCAAGGTCCCCTTCCCGTTTGCAAAAAAAAAAAAAAAATCTGCCTCCCTGTTTGCTGTATCTGTGTTTTCTTTGCTCTTTGAATTACTTATACTCTGGGTTTCTCATAGAAGAGGCGCCATGCAGTATGACATTAGGCCTCAGGGTGCACCGATCTTCCTACAAATCACTCCGCCTCCCCTTCTTCACAGCAGAGTAATACTCCATCGTGTGTATCTGCTGTTCTCTACTAGAAGTTGGGCCTCATGTACTCTAGTTCTCACTATGGAGGAAGTTGATTTGGACCTTTTTTTCAATCATGTTGCTTACGATTGTAAGCAACTTGTCTTTTTGCAAGTAATTTACAAAAACGAAAAACACGAAGGACCTTTTTCATGGCGATAAGGAGCATCGAGTCAGGTGTGGCAGGGCACATCTATAATTCCATCTCTCCAGGAGGCTGAGGCAGGAGGATTGCCAAGAGTTTGAGGCCAGCCTGAGGTACACAGTGAGACTTCCATCCCCTCCCTGACTCTGGGATTCATTCCTGTGGCCTGGAGGCACTGGTCATTCTCAGCACGCTCTTCCTGTCCTGCCAGACCTGGTCACCCCAACTCTGCTGCACGACACAGCACAGCCCCCAGTTGGAATCTGAGATCCACAGGACTCAGCCTTACCTGTCCTGATCCTGGTCCGAGGGGCCGCCCAAGGCTTGGCCTGGATGCCTGCATTGATATCACTGGTTCTGCTCGGCATTCGAGGCCCCGGGCTGACTGACTACAGGAGGCTGTACCCTTTTCCCTGCTCCCGCCCACACAGGCTAGAGAGAGCTTCCCTTCCTCCTCATGTCCTCTCCTGTTCCTGTCCCAGCTCCTTCCTCTTCCCAGTGATCATTTTGCTATAATTTCCACCCAGCTCTGCTGCTATAGTTCAGATTTTATCTGTTTCTCGAGACAGGTTTCTCTGCGTAGTTCAGGCTGGGTTCAGACTCACGGTGATCCTCCTGCCTCAGCTTCCTGAGTACTGGGATCACAGGTGTGCGCCACCACACTTGGGAACTTCTAATTAGTATGTTTTTCCGTGTGTAGCATTTCTGTATGTTTTCCCCAGACTCATTCGCATAACCCTCCAGAGAATTCTGTTGTTGTCCTGTGGATTCTTTCTTCCCTCTTCCCATATTTAAACACAGTCACCCCAGTAACGGATGCCGTCACCTTGTTCTCTGGGCTCGGGTTCCAGGGTGGGGTGACCTCTTTCCTGATTCCTCCTCTGGGGGCTTCATTTCCCAGATGGCTTCTAATTTTAGCTTATGAGCCAGCGGAACATGGCCCATGCCTGTAACCCCAGCCTCTGGGAGGCTGAGGCAGGAGGATCAGCATAAGTTCAAGGCCAGCCTGGGCTGCACAGTGAGTTCAAGGCTGGCTTGCACTTTGTAGCAAGACCCTGTCTCAAAAAACAAAAAGGGGAAACAGCAGGCTCCCCTTCCTCAGCAGGGCAGCTCAGGCCTGCTGCCCCCCCAGGTGACCCCGTGGCGTACACCACAGTCCCTTCGGAGCACGAAGCCTGCTGGTTCTCACCGGTTCTCTCTGGAAATCGCTCAGTCTTTGCTCCTCAGTGTTAGCTAAGTGAGTACCTACCACGGCATGTGCCTGAGGTCGCCCCAGAGTGGAGTTGGCTGTATCCCCAAACCCCATCCTGCTCCATGGAGCCCCTGCGTGTCCCCGAGTGGGGGACTAGTACAGGGCTGCCCAGCCCAGAGGCCCTGGCCAGTGCCTGCGGTTAGAAGAGTGTGCGTCTCTCCAGGGATTTTCCTGAACTCTACGTGTGTTTCCCCCCAGTACCAGGTTCGAACGCACTGAGCTACATCCCAGCCCCTTTTCATTCTTAAATTCAAGACAGGGTCCTGAAAAGTCTCTACTTACCCTGGCTGAGCTTGAACTCGTGATCCTCCTGCCTCAGCCTCGCAGAGAGCTGGGACTGCAGAGCTGCACCACCATGCCTGGCTTCTTCATGTACTTCAAAGTGATAGAAGTGAACCCTTTCTGAAGTCTTCCATTTCATTTAAAGGGAGTTGCCCGGGCTCGAGTCTCGTTTCAAACGATGTCTTTGTAGCGCACTTCCTGTGTGACAAGGGTCACGTTGCGCCTCAGAACTGTGGCTGTCACAGGGACGAGGAGCGGTCCCAAAGGTCTCACCCCGAGGAGCCTTTGTACAGTGTCTCACAGCTCGAGTCCCCCGTTTCTGTCCTGACTGTAGCTCTGCGGCCCTGGTCCAGTCTCTCGCGGGTCTCTCTAACCTCTCTCCGCCGTGTGCCCAGCTCGCGGCAGCGTGGGCTATTTCTGCGCACACCTGTGTGATACGTGCTTCAGCTCCTGTGCGGAGTTTGCTTTGCTTTTTCCTTTTGAACGCCCCCCGGTCTCCTGGCTTGTGTGTGGCCTCACATCATCGGCAAAGGTCTGAACACTTACTGGATACCTGGGAGGAAGCCACCCGGGGACACAGGCCACCCAGGCGTGACAGCCGTTCCCCCGGAGGCCGAGGGAGCGTCCCCTCCGTCCCCAGAGCCGACGCTGTGCCTGGAAACCGACCCATTGCCCAGAGCTGAGAGACTGAGGGTCGCCTGACAGGAGACTTGCGCGGCTTTCAGCCTCCCCCCCCCATTTCCTCTCCGTCTCTTCTCTTCTGGCCTTGCTTTTACTCTTCCTTCCTTCCCTTCCTTTTGTAAGAGCCTGGCTGAACCAGAGCGACTCCATGTTGACCAGCGAACGACCTAGACACTGTCGCTCCCCGCATCCCTTACAGGATAACTAATGATTCATTGTGAATTGTTAGGTGACTGCTTTGAAGAAGCTGGGAAACCAAATGGAAACTGCAGTGAACACAGAGACCCAACACAAACCACGCCACTCCTTACTTGCCTGTAGTTGAATGTTCTGAACATCATAATCTAAGTTGTAAATGGAATAATGGATAATCGATCTGCTGGTCATTAGTACGTGACGGTCAAGTATATGCCTGATGACCACCAGCTCAGATCCACTGACTCTTTCCTTTGTCCCCTTCCTGTAAGTTTTGAGTGTAAACCCCCCCTTAGCCCTATATAAAATGGCCTCTGTTTCTGAGCTGGCCGCCTCTCTGAGCTACTCGGCTCCGGGAGTGCCGTCTGGCCAGAATAATAAAGGTCTATTTGCCAACCAGCCTGCTGTGCTCCTTCCTGAGTGACTCTCGCTGTCCGACAAGCTCCTGGAGCCTCGCTGAGCTTCTGAGCCCAGCATGGTGGAAGCCTCTTGGCTGTTCACGCTCCAGGAGTAAAAGTGAGACTTAAGTCTTACACTTTTACTTCCTTTTTACCTTTTCTTTCTCTTTCGCTTTCTCCTCCCTCCCTCCCGTTTTTCCTCTTTTCTTTCCCCCCCCTCCCCCTCCCTCCCTTCCCTTTTCTCTTTGGTGTTTTGCTTAGTCCTGGGCACCGCACCTGGCCCTGAACCTGCAGCCCCGAGTCACTCGGTCCGGTTGTTTCCCGGACGCCAGTGCCCCGTGCTCCGTGCCAGGCAGAGCCCCCCCCCAGTGAGCAGCAGGACCCTGGGGCGCCCTTAGCACCCCACCCTGCCGCCCCCCATGCAGGATGCAGCCACCACCTGGGCCAGCAGCTGCTGATTCTCCCCTGTGCCATTGGGTTTCTAGGCACTTGGGATGGGAGAGCAGTTTCCATGAGAATGATCCTTCGTGGGCGGGCAAGAAGGGCCTTGTGGTGCAGTTTTGTATTTGCTCTCTGAGGCCCAGATACTGACGTTGTTTGGAGACAAAGTTTTTTTCTATGTAGCCCGGGCTGCCCTTGAACGTATGACCAGGGATCAGGACCGGGGTGGCTCCCTGTCATGGGCTCACAGGAGACCCCGGGGACACCCTCCCCTCTTCCGAGGCCCCCAGACCCTGTCCAAGCCACAACTGCACTGACCAAGGGTGGAACCGTCTCTAGCTTCTGCAGGGGCTGCCGGGCCTGGGCCTCAGCAGGGAAGTCAGAGGAGAGCTTTTTCCAGCCCTGAACTTTGGAAAGGAGAAGGCACGCAGAGCCTCCTCCCACTCGGGTGCTGGGGCCTCTTGCTCTGGCCCCTGCTCTGTGTTCAAATGTGTTCCCAAGTTCATATGTTGTAAACATTCATGTATATATGTATTATTACTTTGAGAGAGAATCTTACTGTGTAGCCCAAACTGGCCTTGAACACTCAGCGATTCTCCTGCCTCAGCCTCCTGAGTGCTGGGATTACAGGAGTGCGCCACCACGCCCAGCTCACGTATAGTAAATTTAATCTCCAAGGCTGCTGGGCCTTAAGGGGTAATCAGGGTGCTCACACGGCTGCACTGTCAGGAGAGAACCCCACATGGGTGCCAGCAGGAGTGGCTTGGTTCCCTGGGGAATGGGTGCCCTGTGGCTTCTCTTCCCCCAAACCCCGCCACACCACCGACTGGGCAGGAGAAGCCAGGCCCGACTGGGGCGTCCCAGCTTCCCATCCTCCAGAGTGGCAGGAAGCCAACTGCTTCCTCGGCCGTCCTAGCCTTCACCTCCCGGAGGCAGGCCCGGCCTGGGCTCTGAGATCAGGGCCGTGGCAGCACCGCAGGCGTCCTCACCGCCACCCTGTGCTGCGGGTGGCCTTGGCTGCTTCAGCTGAGTGAGCTCAGCGGCAGGGTGGGCCGCCGGCTCCCAGGGCGCCTCCAGTCCACCGCCCGAAAATGGGGCTCAGCAGTGGGGCACCACGGGCCAGAGACACAGACACAGGGAGGGGAGGCAACATGGTTTATTCAGTCGGGGGCCAGCAGAAACGCCCTGCACGCGTGTCCTGACACACATACCACACGCACAGGCCTCCAGTCTCCCCCTGGGGACAGAATCGTGAAGGGGGACCTCGCAGAAACGGACCCACAACATGGCCCTCTGACCTCTGACATCACACCTGTCCCGCCACACAACGCTGGTCTCCTCAAGACCACTTCCTAGTATCGGTGACACCCATGGTGTTTTCTCAGCACCGATTTACAGGTAAAGAACGAAGTGTTGCTAGTTGGTGCTTTCCTACAGGAATAAAAGATTTGATCACTTTCCCTCCAGGCCAGCACTAGATGGGGAGAGAATTCAGAAGACTCCTCACCATTTGAAGAAAGTGAGACCAGCGCTCTGTAGCCCGGGCTGGCCTTGAATCTTCCTCAAACCCGCCTCAGCCTCCCGCGTGCTGGGATGGCAAGCGTGGACCTGCGCACCCAGCTGCACCTCCCTAGTCATAGCCTACACCGCACACGCGCGCACGCACACTGACACACGCAGCGCGGCCGTCTCTGCTCCTCTCGTCCCCCCGCTGGCCTCTGCTCACTTGGACTTCGGGGCACCTTGGGGGGCGCCCTTCCGGGGCTCGGCTGTGCGGGCCTCCTCCTCGGGGATGAACACGCTGACCGTGACGTCGCTGGGCTCCGAG